ATGATGCATGGAGGGGATTGTAACCATGGCAATGATACGATGTACAACAGAATGACTGTAAAACTAATGTTCTCCCATGTAAACTAACATATAATTCACAATAAAACACTATAAAAAAATATCACTGACACATCCAGATCCTTTTAATTAATTTCCTGAATTTCAATAATATCTATATTAAATGGAGGTTCTGATCAAAATTAACATAGGGAAATTATAAAGTAGCCTTGCCACCACTAAGGCTATTCCAGCTTACAGTAACTCTGCAGGACAGAGTAGAACTGCCCCATAGGGTTTCCTAGGCCTTTACTCCCATGAAGCCACTATATGAACTAGAACATCTGACTGTCAGCTAGCAGCTGAGTACATAAGCACCTGTGCCACCAGGGCTCCTACACTAGCTTAGTACAAAAATTTTAAATGGGAAGCAGAGTCTAAGAACGAACCCAAGAGATTCTTATACTTACAAAAAGGCAGAAAACATAAACACAACACTAGCCTAGACACCCCATAATGTTTACCCAAAACAGAAGCCCATATCACCAAGGATATTATCCAACACAAGAATATAATACTCCACCTTTACTTGTCGAGCTTGGCTGATGACACATGGAAGACTAAAAAGTTGTTGAACAAAAGCCTTCAATTCCTCCACTGTCAGTTTGGTCCGAGTTCTCCCACTATCTGGGCTCTGTCTGATGTGAAATAATATTGAAACATAAGCAAGAAAAAAATCATAGTTAATTTTATATCAAAAAGAACTTCTTAGAATTCTAACCCAAGTAATCTAATGGTTTGACGGATTCCACTGCAATGGTGGAAATAATGTTTCAGTTTTTTAGTTAATGACTCAAATATTCAACTTTCCAAGTTACAGTTCCTTTAAGAATAAACAAGGGCTACTTTTTTCTTTTCTAATTTTTGTGTGTGAACTTAGTGAAATTTACAAAGCAAACCGGTTTCCCACTCAACAATTCATACACATTTTCTTTGGTGACATTAATTTTATTTCCCACAATATGAAAAATTTTTTCCACTCATCCCTTTTTCATTCTTCCCTGCCTTCTAAGTTTTATTGCTATTATTGCTATGCCAATGAGTTGGTTCCAACTCATAGTTTCCAAGGAGTGGCTGGTGGGTTTGAACTGCCAACCTTGTGGTTAGCAGTCCAGTACTTATCCTACAGTGATCTAGGCAAATGCTGATCCATATATGGTTGATAGTTCTAAGGAGAGCATATCTCCCTGATGTTACTATTCATTCTAAGGCATGACTTGGCTGAAAGTTTAGCCATGGGAGTGCGCTCAATTCTAGGTTGCCAGGGTGACTAAGGGCCATTACTCAGGAGTTACACCCATCTCTACCAGATCAGTAAGGCTGGTCTTTTTTATGAGATTGTTTCACATTTTTCCCCAGTTTCTCCAAGACCTTCTAATGCAATGCTTTATAGAATAGTTGGCAGTGGTAGCATCTTGTTCTTCTGGTCTCAGGGTAGTGAAGTTTGAGGTTCACATGGTCCATTAGTCCTTTGAACTAACTGTTTCCATGCCTTTTTTATTTTCTTTATTTTTCTTTGCTCCAGACAGGGAGAGACCAAGAGTTGCAACTTGGATGGCGGCTCATAAACTTTTAAGACCCCTTTCACTACTCGTCAAAGTAGATGTAGAACATTGTCCTTGTGAACTATGCTATGCTAATTCATCTTCATATCCCCTTTGACTATGTCCTAAGTCCATATGCCCAGACTCATCCCTTCCAGGTATTGGGTTATGGTTACGTAGTTTTCATAAATTTGTACCAATTGTTCTACTATTATTGTTGTTAGTGCTGTCGAGTCGGTTCTGACTCAAAGCGGCCCTGTACAGGATTTCCAAGGAGTGGTTGGTGTTTGAATGTCAAACCTTGTGATTCAAACTGATCTTGTGGTCCAGTGCTTTATCCTACATTCAAAGTTAAATCAAAAACTATTGCTACTAAGGTTGCAACTCATACATGCACAAGTTTATTCAAACAAAATACGTTTAAACATCTCTGTAATCAGTGGATAGCTGCAGACAAGTTCTCTCAGTAATACACTTGTCTTAATCTCATTAGGATTCTTTCAAAAATGGTCCAATCAAAAGTGTCTTCCAAGGGGATCTGCTGCTTGTTGTTGTTAAGTGTCATTGAGTCGGTTCCGACTCACAGCAACTCTATATAGGGTTTCCGAGGATCAACTGGTACATTTAAACTGCTTTAAGTTCAAGCTGACCTTGCAGTGCAGTGCTTTATTCTACAACGCCACACCAGAACTTGGCTTGGCTAGCTTAATTGAAGGCAGAGAGGGCAGAGAGCTCAGAAGGTTGTTGTTTTTGTTCAGTACTGTTGAGTTGGTTCTGACTCATAGCTACTCTATGAGTTTCTGAGGAG